ATCAGACATTGTTTCACACGTTAATAGTGAAAGATAGTTTGATATGTTGATTCTCAGAGATGGTTTGACACATTGATAATCAGACATTGTTTCACACGTTAATAGTGAAAGATGGTTTGATACGTTGATTCTTAGAAATGGTTTGACACATTGATAATCAGACATTGTTTCACACGTTAATAGTGAAAGATAGTTTGATATGTTGATTCTCAGAGATGGTTTGACACATTGATAATCAGACATTGTTTCACACGTTAATAGTGAAAGATGGTTTGATACGTTGATTCTTAGAAATGGTTTGATACGTTGATAATCAGACATTGTTTCACACGTTAATAGTGAAAGATGGTTTGATATGTTGATTCTCAGAGATGGTTTGACAAATGGTGGACATACTTGGTCAGTTGTATATACATCGTTGGAACTGTATAATGACGTTTTAGTTGTAAAATGTGACGGCTCTTGATACTCGTTTGTATGAAGAACCTGAGTATAGGCTTTCATGTTATTGGATTCAAGAATCCTAGATTTCACCATGATTTAATATTCTTACACTGTACCCATGTACGTTGGCTCATCAAAATGGTTAACGTCTGCCATTTCCGCCACGTCGATCTTTTCTCCAACAGAAAGCTGACACGCCGAGAAATAAATGAAACACTGTTCTACGGGCGATAATCCGTTTACTCACTCGTATATCGATTCTATTTCACTTGTATGATCTGATCTTAACACTGGTGAAAAAATATCTATATCATTTTCACATGGTTTTGAATATATCCAAGTGTTTCTTACGATCAATGCTTAGACATTCGTTCATCATCAAGGTTTTCACATTTTGACATTTGTCAACACAATTGTGTTTATTAACAAAATGTTGACATTGGAAGACATGATTGTTGCAGATCACATCGGGGAACCGTCCAACATCCCACAACAGGCTCGTATCAAGCTGTACAGTAGACAACTCACCGAAGCTATTGTGAGGCATGTGTATCCGCAGTTTTTGCCTGATGGTGTCGTCATTGGCAGAACCGAGAACCCCTCTGTTCAAACATGTCTGGTAAGTTCAATATAGATACATTAATGAAACTGTTCTTTTCAAGGCGACTGTTCAGTATTAGAGACTACACGTGTGGTATGTGTATATACCAGTTCGATGATTGTTGAAGATGACCCGTGAAGATCCGGGGTAGAATCCATGCTTGCCGTAAAAGGCGACTATGTTTGTGGTACGAGGCGACTAATGGGTGGTCAGGCTCACTGACATGGTTGATGCATGTCAGCGATCCCAATCGAATGGATCGATGCTCATGATGTCAATCACTGGATTGTCTGGTCCCGATTCGATTATTTACAGACCGCCGTCATATAGCAGGAATATTGCTGAGTGCTGTGTTTAAAGAACAAACAAACAAACAAAATATTACATAGATAGATTATAGCAAACACGAGTATCGTAAATTGTCTGTGAAATTAAAGTTTAAAAACACTGGGTTTTGACCTTACAATAGCGTGACATTTGTGACCGTGTACCCTTTTTCAGTTCGACTGGGGCGGTATTGTCGTGTGCAGGAAGTCCAACAAGTGGTGGCTGAGAGGCGTCATCAGCACCAACAACTGCCTGGTCAGCAACGGCGGAACGGCCACACCCGAGCCTCCAATCTTCATCACAGAGGTGGCAAACTACAGGCAGTGGATCGACACATGTGTGACCAACTTTCACAGTTGTCCGACCATTTTAGGCTGATTTCCTGGGAGAACCTGGTCTTCAAACAATGCATGCACTCTGCTGTTTCATTTGAAGAATTGTTAACGAATCGACTTGGAATGGTCGTGTTCATTAGTATTTGCCATGATGTGCATATAACGACTACTGCATAATGAATATCGCGTCAATGACCACATAATAAATTTTAATCATGGATTTTAAATGTGTATTTTTATTCTTTCATCCTTTTGTTTGGATGCATATCAATACGATCAAATTATTACCAATGAATTCTGTTTTCGGACAACGTGACCCACTGCGTGGAACTGCATGCACACACTAACCTTTTGTAGTTCATGTTGAAAGTACTAACAATAGTGTTAGTAGCCTTGTGGGTAAAGCGTTCGCTCGTCACGCCGAAGACCCGGGTTCTATTCCCCACATAGGTGCAATGTGTGAAGCCCATTTCTGGATTACCCCGCCTTGATATTGCTGGAATATTGCTAAACGCGGCGTAAAAATAACACTCATTCACTCACAAAAGTCTTAGTCGCGTATGCCGTATATTGAAGGAGAAAACGGCATTAGGCTGACCCTGGACACATGCCCCTGGACTAAGTCTACTGGGTTACATGTCCAGTTCAACATTTGGGCGGGGACAGCGTTCCGGGGCAAATTGTCCACATGCACACTTACTCACCTATGAGTACAATGTAAGTGTACATACTGATATGTATTTGTAAATCGTGTACATGTAAAATGTACTATGCGTTCACATGAATTGAGTGAGTTGGGTTTATCGCCGCTTTTAACAGTATTCCAGTTATATCGCGGCGTGCCAGCTTGATGTGGGAGGAAAACCCGAAGTGATGCAGATCTCAGACATTTACCACTTCGGTGAAACCCACAAGGACGGGTATGGTGCTGACAAACCTAGAAACATAATTGGGGCGAACCGGGGCTCGAACCCCCAATCATAGGTTTCTGGCGTGCCCAAGGGACGAAACTTAGACGACTGGCCCAACCGTGCCACTGTGTTCACATGAAAAATAACGTCTAACGTGTGCAAATAAAGTATGTCAATAAGGTAAGGCACACATATTCATCAGCCTGTTCGTGACTTGCACCATGAAAAGGTTGTTTTCCAATCAAAGGAAAGGTTGATTTGGTAGAAAGATCGAGACTCAACTTGGTGAGACAATTTTAATGCGTCTACTGGATACAGGGAATGGTACGAAAATGTTCGCATGAAGCAACATGTGTTTGATTTAATCTATACACAATTTTTTGACTCCTAGAAACCCAAAGACAACTCTGTCCGCAAATCAACAGCTATGTGAATTAGAACATCCTCTGGCATAAAGGGCATATGACAACCAAATCATACAGTGCAAATTTGCATTTGTTTAAATTTACATTTGCACCTGCTCCAGACATGTGCAAAATTGTTCCTAGTGTATCTATACACACTTGAGTAAACGCGTTCACGGGGCAGCTACAGTCACGAATGTACATTATACATTGATGCAAATAAAGGCACATATGTATGTGAACGGGGTGATAGAATCGGAAAAGTATAGTCACGTTGTCTTTAAAATTATAAAGTCAGCGAATTGTATTTGACGCAGTTTTGAGCAGCACCATGTTTGCATCACGGTATGTGCCGACAGACCAGGGGTCATAATCGGGGCCAAACAGAGATTCGAACGTTAGACCAGCACATCCTGGCAAAGCTAAGGGACGCAGGTCTGCTCAGTAAATTGCGGTGAAACGCTCTACAATGTTTCCTCAGTAGACTTTGGCACCAAAGCTATATCCCTCATACACAGTTAAAGGGGTTGTCTGAAACAGTCGACTGTCGAATACATTCTACATGAGGCGGTTAGGTAGCCTTGTGGTGAAGGCATCGCCCTGTCACGCCTAGGATTCGGGTTCTTTTCCCCACATGGGTATATCATGTGAAGCATTTTGATATTGTTAGAAGCGGTGTAAAGCCTAATCTTACTCACTTACCTAGATTTCCTACTGCCATCCTGACTCAAATACAACCTGGTACATGATGTCAGGACCCGTGAAGATCCGGATTAGAATTCAGCAACCCAGAATTGCCGTAAGAGGCGACTAAAGGGACAGGGTGGTCAGGCTCGCTGACTTGCTGGATGCATGTCTTCGTATCCCAATTGCCTTGTGCGCATGATGTCTATCACCTTATTGTCTGATCCGGACTCGATTATTTACAGACCGCGGTCATATAGCTGGAATATTGAGTGCGGCATCAACAAACAAACACACATACAAACATGTTGTCACTGTACAACAACAAACAACATAAATGGAAATATAAGTATTAGATACCCCCATGCACACACCACCACCACTCATCACCCACCACCACCACCCAAACACGCAACTCCAACCCCACCCCAGCCATCCCGCATACACACACCACCACCACTCATCACCCACCACCACCACCCAAACACGCAACTCCCACCCCATACCAGTCATCCCGCTTACACACACCACCACCACTCATTACCCACCACCACCACCCAAACACGCAACTCCCATCCCCATCCCAGCCATCCCGCACACACACACACACACACACACACACACACACACACACACACACACACACACCTAGAATGGTCCCTAACAAAGGTACCGCAGATTTGAACCCTCCTTTGTATAACAACTGGTTGCCATGGGGTAGCCTAGTGGTTAAAGCGTTGGCTCGTCACGCCGAAGGACCGGGTTCGATTATCAATATGGGTACAATGTTTGGAGCCCATTTCTGGTGTCCCCTGCCTTGATATTGCTACAATATTGCTGAAAGCGGCCTCGTTGTGTTTAACACTGTAAACGTTGCCTCTCTCCCATCGGCTTAAACACATGTTTTCCGCCTTTATTTGGTGACAAGAATTTTACAAACCCAGATAAAAATGTATTCCTTTGAGCTAAATCACAGAAATCTTTTAAAAATATCTGAAATCTTCAAACTGAATGTCACAAAACGACCCAGGTGAACATGTAACATGAGAAATGTGTATCCTTGACCCACCGTATTAACTCTGACGGCTACATTAACGCTTTAAGAACCAATCCCCAGGAGCATGCAGTTCTGTTTGGTCGAAGGACTAAACGCCTTTGGTTATAATAATATGAGGAATGTCGGAAACAATCGCCCCTCGTAACGAGTGTTGTGTAGCTAATTGTGTTACAAATGGGCGTTAAATGTTGACCTTGTATTTCCTTGTGCTGACTTACACAGTTTTCCCTCGTCGAAACTATATAAAAGAATGGCTTTATTACAACGGACGTTCGCCAGCAATAACAATAGTCTCCGGACGTCATCCAAAAATGGCAACCGTAATTTTGACGACGCTGCTGATTGTTGTTGCACAACTGAGCATTTTAAGAGCTCAGTATATTCGCCATACATGTAAGTTACATTTTATTATAAAGCTGTTTATGTCGGTTACACGTAAACTGGGAACGGAAGTCTCCCTTGCTACAGGGCCTTTAAAACATATACTTTACTTTCAAACATCGAGATACTGAATTGTATCTGCAAGATATTAAATTCAATTTTCACTTTTCGAAGTAACATTATAATTTGTTAACGTTAATGTTTTCAAATTACAGGAAACAAAGTTGACTATTGTCAGCATAAAATATGTAGCATATGGCATGTAATATGTACAATTATTAAGATAATTTTTCAAAATGTTTTGAACATTTTATCCTAAAAATTCAACATTATATCTGTAATTTTAACTAAAAAGTTTCAGTTCTTTATAACACGAGTTGGATTCATTCATATAACTGTACCTCGGTAAACCACATATGTATTATGCTGCAACAAGTATGAAACATTATAGTTTTTCTACCTATACAAGATATATATTTAACGTTATTCCATGTGCACGTTGTGAATTCACTGTAAATATAAATATAAATATAAATATAAATATAAATATATAATACATGTACATCAACGCCAGAGAATTATCTACCGTAACCGATTCCATTGTGCGTTGAAGGCAAAATAGCGGTGAACATTATATAAATGGATCACTGTAAATCAGTGTTAACACCAGGTGTTCGCGAAAAGGTTAAGCATGTAGCACGCTCGACCCGTGAAGATCCGGGTTAGAATAGGTCTTCAGCAACGCATGCTTGTCGTAAGAGGCGACTAACGGGATCGGGTGTTCAGGCTCGCTGATTTGGTTGATGCATGTCACCGAATCCCAATTGCGTAGATCAATGCTAATGATATCAATCACTGGACTGTCTTGTCCAGACTCGATTATTTACAGACCAACAATGTGACACGATCATTGCAATCTTTCAGTGTGCGCCCAGCTACATGGGGGAATCTGTCAAACGTCATGTGGTTCCCCAGTATCACAACAGCCGAATACAATTGCCAGCCTGTGCACTGTTGGAGTGTGCTGTCAGCAAGGTGTGTACAACGTCACGTTGGAATGAAATCTTTCAGAAAATAATAGATGTTCGCAGTCTGAACGATTTTAAAAATATCGACGTATATATGTCTATTCCGTAACGTATTTAAGACGTGCATTGATACGTATACGTGACCCAGTTGTAAAAGTCAACGCGAATCGCTATGCGGAGTTGTCTCCCTTAGACGTACCAGAAACCAATGGTGGTGGATTGGAATGCAAGATTCGCCCTCAATACGTTTCTGGGTTTGTCAGCACCACAACCGTACTCATCGGGTTCACGAAAGTGTTAAACCTTTAACTCCTGGTTCATTTCGGTTTGTCCAACCACATCGAGCTGACACGCTGTGACATAACCGAAATACTATTCAAAACCGATCCTGCTGGGGTATCATGCAGGAAGCAGAGGTACTGTAAATCCCCATGACCCCCTGCGAGGTGGCCTAGCTTTGGTGACTGGTGGCCTATAGCCCGTGTTTTAAAACTGTTTACATGATATTGTTATGCTCAAATATGTTTCATGAATTGTTTTTAAATATAGTATGCTCAAATATGTTTCATAAATTGTTTTTAAATATAACTTTGCATAAATAACTAAAGTGTGAATATATTAACTTGGTCCCGTTGCTATATGGCTTGAATAATGCCGATGCGACGTTAAATTTTAACTCACTCACTCACAATTCAAAACTGTGTTAAACCTAAGTGAGCTTATATACTTACTCATTACACTCTGTTTGTATACGTAGCTGATGGAACTTGGTCACAATGGTCCGCTTGGAGCACGTGCTCTGTCACGTGTGGACAAGGTGAACGGAGGAGATCCCGCACGTGCATCTCGGGATTCTGTTCCGGGCAAGATTTCCAAATACAACAATGCGCAGAAAACCCGTGTTCTACAAGTAAGCGTGATTCCTCACATGGGTATAATGTCAATATTTTGTGTCCTCATCCGTAATAAGGCTAGAATGTTGCTTAAAGTGCCGTCAAACCCGACTCAGCCAGTACACTTAACGTCAGAACATGAACGTCACACATTTGCTTAATACCACATGTTTTAGAGATGCTACAGTGGAAGTAGACGATAATGGAAAGCAAGCTCCAACGTTCATACAGTTTTGCCCTCGCTCTATGAAGGTCCATACTCCAATGAACTCACACAAAGTGAAGGTCAATTCTTAAATATACTATAAGTTTCGAAACACTTTTCCTCATACCCGTATGGTACATTTGTTCTTACGGTAGCGTTCATCTCAGGAATGAATAGATCACTTACCGGTTGATATTTTCCAATCAGGTTATTTTATGTAACAGAGTAGCAAGTATTGATTGTGTGACACATTATCTGATGGTGAAATCATAAGAAACAACTGATTCCAGTGATTTCTAAGAACTTGAACCATGTCATGATTGAAACAAAATTTCTCTATAATTTTGCATAATGACCTATAATTGCACAAGTTATACTTGGCCAGTGAAGTCCTGCATGATCAACAACTGCGTGACGTCAGCATACTGGTTTAATCCAGGTTCTCTGTATATCGTTTTAAACGACACACCTATAGAATATTAGAATTCAGACTGAAGAATAATTATATCATCCAACTGTTTATTTATTTGGATATTAAAATCCGGTTCTATTTTTTAATCATCCTTCTGATGTTCTGGAAGGGGAACGTGGGCGGATGTGTTGCTGGGATTGTTTTGTTGGAAACATTATAATTATGTTTTCGGTCACCATTTCAAGAAAAATACAATTGTTTTCTGCGAAGGAGGAGCCTAAGAATTGTACATTTTTCATAACACAGTTAGATCAGGATATCCACCATTTCCAGCGTATAAAAATAAGGCAAAATATATATTTTCAAATAGTTTCTACAATAAATATTTAAAAAAAAAGAAAGAATCCCCGACCCCTTCAGAATATCCAATGGCCTGTATCTAACATGTCTCCTGTCTGTAGGTGCCCCGGAATGGGGGTCATGGCGTGAGTGGAGTTCCTGCTCTGAGAGCTGTGGTTCAGGACTGAGGGTCAGAGTTCGTACTTGTCCTGATAACAGATGTGTCGGAGCCCGCTTTGAGACCCAGGCCTGCTCCAACGACTGCCGCACAACAACCACAACACAGTCCACAGGTTGCGTTATAGAATATATTTTATATATTGCTTTACTGATTATAAATGTCATTGAATTATAGGTACATATGTATAGTTACATAGGAATATTGGTATTGTCATAGGTGTAGATACAACACTATGCATCACATGAGAATGCGCATCTTCCCGAGGCAAGAGCGTTAACTAATTATTAAAGTGGAAATTGTACTTTTATAGTCAGTTAACGCCCTTGTATTGCCCCGGAGAGATGGACAGTGAGGGGCAGTTCAGATTGTTGCTGCAGCATTGTTATACCGTAGTGATATACAGTGTATTACAGTACATTTCAGTTGTGGATAATATAAATGGTTCTTGATACGAATCCATAGAGCTGTCTTAGAGCTTCGACTATAACAAGCAACATAAATAAGATCAGGGATAGAATAGGTCGTCAGCAACCCATGCTTGAGGCCAAAGGCGACTAACGGGATGGGGTGGTCAGGCGCACTGACTTGGTTGATGAATGTAATCGGATCACAATTGCCTGGATCGACGCTCATGATACCAATCACTGGATTGTCTGGTTCAAACTTGATTATTAACAGACCGCTGTCATATACATTTGTAGCTGGAATATTGCTCAGTGCGGCGTCAAAGAAACAAAAAGAGAAAGTAACATTATATTTAAGCATGAGAGTAAGACCGCTTTGTGGAATCAGACCTTGTTTCTTACGCTGTTAAATAGAGTTTTATCTGTTTCATAAAACATTATTTCCTTCACCATCATCTCACAGACACAGCGTCTACAATTTTGGTGGTTCTACACTTGTGACGTTCAAGCCTCTAATAATTCGTTCACTTTGTAGTGTCTTCAGCCTGGGCATCATGGCGAGAATGGGAGTCGTGTTCGGCGACATGTGGTATCGGTTTTAGACGGCGAGACCGCCAGTGTGACGGACAAGGATGTATTGGTCCGAACAATGATTTTGATTCCTGTAACGACGGCGATTGCTCAACTACATCGACGTCATCGTGGTCTGCTTGGACGGAGTGGGAGTCGTGTTCGGCGACATGTGGCATCGGTTTGAGACGGCGAGACCGCCAATGTGACGGACAGGGATGTATTGGTCCGAGTAATGATTTTGATACCTGTAACAATGGAGAATGCGCACTGAGCTCCAGAGCGTCATCCCCAGCGAATGGAAGAGAACCAACAACTGGAAAAAGTACCGATATTGTTTAGAATCACGTATATAATCGCCCAAAATGCATCTTGAATAGACATTTGCAGTATCATGTTTGTATACAGAAGACAACATTTTCTAAAAACCTATATCTATATCTGTATCGATAACTATATAAAACACCAAAGTCTAAAGACGAGATGTATAAATCTACTCAACAGGTTCCACGAATGTGATTTTCAAGAGTACAATATCGTTACGCTTTTTTAACACAGTGTACTCTAACATAGTATGATAATTCCTAAAAAAAATCTCAGAATAGGTCTTCAGCAACCTATGCTTGCCGTAACAGGCGACTATGCCTGTCGTAGTGGCGACTAACGGGATCGCGTGGTCAGGCTCGCTGACGTTGTTGATGCATGTCATCGGATCCCAATTGCATGGATCGATGCTCATGATGTCAATCACTGGATTGTCTGGTCCAGACTCGATTATATACAGACCGCCGTCCTAAAGCTGGAATATTGCTGAGTGCGGCGTTAAACAACAAACAAACAAACAAAAAATTATGATATTCTTGCAGTTACTGACACTGGACAAACAACAGTCCACAGAAAACGACCAAGTAACTCTGCTCATCATGATCATAATTACTATTCTTTGAAGGAAAGAAATACAACAAAAACTGACCAAAAAACGTAAAACAAGAGACGAGGAATCTCCGTTATTGATTAGTTCCGGTTAGAAATGTTCTCCAACTACGTGATAATATTTTGAGTTTGTGACTTTTTTGCCATATGGATCCCTTAGTATTTTCATTGACATTATTATAACCAAATGCCTCATGTTGCCAAGTGTAAAAGGAATGTGATCTATTATTTGAGTATGTGCATCTGCCAATATTGTTGGCAGTTTTGATACTATTTCCACGTGTTTACATTAGTGCCAGAAATTGCTTCCATTTCCTTCGATCTACTTTTTTAATAAAGACCCAGGTCAGAATGTTATCAGTCTTATTTAGGGCTGTAACAAAATTTACTCACAATCTGGATCAACACACCTGGGAAACTATTATACTTCAATTCGCTTCGTATCTGTACAAACTAAGGCATCTTTTGATATATATCTTCTAGTGAAAATCTGTCATCATTTAGGTATCTGAATTAGATAAACTGTGTGTAATTGTAAATATGTTATGCCTTTTTTTGTGTTAACTGCGCGTAATTGAATATATATTTTCATTGTAATCTTCGGAATGACATCTGGAGGAAATAAAGAATCTTTCTCTCTCTCTCCCATGTACGGACATTAAAATGGGGATTTCTATTAGACATGATTTTTTTTGTCACTTTTGCGTCAGACCCGTGAAGATTCCGGGGTAAAATATTGCAGGAATATTGCACCCAAAAAAAGAAAGTTGACTATTGATCAGTTGAAGTCATCCTTCTTGTTATACAGTCACTGGTCCCTCTTATATTTCTGGTTTAGGTGCGTTAATCCGTGGAAGTGAATTGGCTATTTGACCATCTTTGAACGATATCAGATCAACGTTTAACGTTTTGACCAAATTCACTTGGTTTGCTTTTTAGCCTCACACTCTCCTCGTTCAAGCAAACATGAAACACACATATTCCTATTTAATCTACGTTTCCGTTGCATCTATGTATATTATTTTTGTCCCCATGCAGACTGTAGATCGATGTCAGTAAGGGCGCTTGGCATTTCCCACGTGGCTTCATGTCAGGAAAACCCTTGGATAGTCTACTTCAACTTGAATGGCAGTATCCAAGACAATCCTGTCCTGCAGCCAATCTGCCATGGAGTCTTGCTGACAGATAGAGCTATACTGACGACCAGGATATGCGGGGATTCTTGAGTTACACAAACATACAACCACTGATTCGTGTATACATATGGTACCGTGGTGATACGCTTTCCTATATCAACGTACACAGAATGCTTCAAAACCTAGGTTCGTCTTATCATAAACATGCCTTTTAGATACAGTTCACTCTGAATCTTATATTATGCATTATGACAGGAATATCGTTATTACGTAGCTAATTTATGAACATATCCTTTGTATCCTTTGGTCCTTTTTTCCTTTGGAAAGCCCGAAGTGATGCAGGTCTCAGACGTTTACCACTTCGGTGAAACCCACGAGCACGGATGTGGTGCTGACAAACCTAGAAACATAATCGGGGCGACCAGGGATTCGAACCCACAATCATAGGTTTCTGGCGTACCGAAGCGACGCAACTCTGCACATCATTGAAAACAAGAACGACAAAGCCATTTCCATAATCTTCTGCTCGGAAATCTCTGCTAAAAGCAGAATCCATTGTACGATTCCGACTCATCACGAGCATGTGCTTATGATTGACCAAGAACTTATGATGGTATCAGGTGTTCGCGAAAGCGGATTTCCTTACTGAAGGAGATTCGCTGTATATCAACCTTCCCCTTTCTACCAAGATTTCACAGAAAGTCATCCGACATTTGCTCAGAACTTGTTACAAGATTACAACATTCAGGGCCTCAGCAACGTTTTCAAAAATTGTATGGTAAACTCCTGGTGGGCATGTTCAATTTTGACGCTTCAGTGACAAAAATTATGTCCGATGCAATTCCCTATTTTGACTTGACCATGTTTCCGTGTTTCTTTAGATAAACAATTTCCTTGCCTTTGCATGTGTTTTTGACGGGTGCCGCCTGTTTCCGCAGCGTACGCTCACCTTTTCGCGAACGCCTGGTATCATCAGTATGTGATAGTGATTCAAAAACACATGCTATGATATCAGGATATATCATGATATGGTCGGAATCGTACAATCGCCTCGTCGAAATTTCTATTAAATATTGAAAGGGTCTTGTCGCTATTATTCCTCAGTGTCAGGGAATGGCAAGCAAGTCCGAGGAGTGATTTGACTTTGGTTGCAGTGGCGGGCTTACTTGCAAGGGGGACACAGTTACGGAATGTGTCAGGAAATGTGGTATTCCCTGATGTCGACGACGATGAAACAAAGGGTAAGATCTTTATGACAAGTTCGTTAAACATGCTCTTTCATTCCAGTGTAAGTCAACCTCTGTGTAAATCTCTCTGGGCATGGGCGGTGGGGTAGCCCATTGGTTAAAGCGTTCGGTCGTCACGCCGAAGACCCGGGTTTGATTCCCTGCATGGGTACATGTGTGAACCCCATTTCTGGTGTCCCCTGTCGTGATATTGCTTGAATATTTCCCAAAGAGGCGTAAAACCATACTCACTCACTAATCCGGAACGTTCCTCGGCTACACCGGTTTATGGAGAAACCTGTTCTCTTTAATCTGAAGTTTCTGATTAAAAAAGTAATATTGTTTGCATAGAACAAGGGTATTCGCTCAACTTCGAATTTGGTATACATAGTAGGGTCTCCTTGCCTCACCAGGATGCGCTGATCGTGTGTTCGGATCCGATATTGACACTGGTGCTTGGTCTATATATGACGGTTGTCTGTAAATAATCGAGTCTGGACCAGACAATCCAGTGATTGATATCACGAGCATCGATCCACGCAATTGAGGTACAATGACATGCAACAACCAAGTCAGCGAGCCTCACCACCCGATCCCTTTTAGTCGCCTTTTACGACAAGCACAGTCGCCTATAACGGCAAGCATGGGTTGCTGAAGACCTATTCTAACCCGGATCTTCAAAGGTCAAGTAGGATTCAACTGATATATTAAGATGAAATATAACTGAATTGTATGTGTTGTTGACATATCAAAGTTTGCCAAATTGTTACAAAATGTTTGGCATCAGCAAGGCTACGTATTCACAAGTCATGATTCTGGACTGAGAGAGGGCCGTATTCCTCCTTGTGGGTCACCTGCTTGGCAAAATGGGACGGAAAAACTGCAGGGGGTGAGGGCAGTTAAGTTGATGGTACAGACAGATAACAGAGATACATTTAATAAAACAATTAATGTGTGTGTGTGTGTGTGTGCGTGCGTGCGTGCGTGCGTGCGTGCGTGCGTGTGTGTGTGTGTGTGTGTGTGTGTGTGTGTGTGTGTGTGTGTGTGTGTGTGTGTGTGTGTGTGTGTGTGTTTGTGTGTGTGTGTTGTCAAGAAAGTACAATAAATGTATATATTAATCGGCTTTGGATTGGTAATAATATCACAGACATTTACGGATATTGATAACGACTTGAAGGAGCTTCGTAACGCAAGTCTTCTCAATTCAGGGATTGGTAACTCAAAATGTGTGTTTGGGTGCGTGCGCGGAGAAGAAGAAGAAGAAGAAGAAGAAGAAGAAGAAGAAGAAGAAGAAGAAGAAGAAACAAGAGGAAGAAGAATGAGTCAAACATCCGTCACTCGATTTCCATTTTCTTGCATTTAGAAAGTACGATTGATTGTTTGATTTATAGATTGTTTGAGTTAATTGATTGATTGATTGATTGAGTTAGCTGATTTAGTTGTTTTATTAAATTGTTTGATTAAATGGTTTTATTTAATTGTTTGATTAAATTGTTTTATTTAATTGTTTGATTAAATTGTTTGATTGAGTTGTTTGATTGGTTGTTTGATTGGTTGTTGAAAATGCTACTGAAGAATCAAACAACTTAAGATTTGGCTTCTGTGATGGAATCATTCTAATATTTCACATAACCGTTAACGTACTCCTTGAATGTTGTCACGCCATTCTAAGACAGATCTAGAAGATATATTAATATTTATGCGAGGACAACGGATTTGACATCGCGAGGCCGGTTCACAATCCGTAAAAGCATGTGGTATGTCATGAATGGCCCATTGCATCTCCTGTACAAAGACGTTCTTTTGAACGTGTTGTCACAGAGCCACAAACTTAGGTCAATGGATCAGATAAATGCAGGACTGTTGGAATCGGTTGAGGTCAACTTCCCATGACATAAACCCCTACTTCACAACCGCTTTAAGAAAGTGGCCATTCATGTACACAGCCCTGTGGATGAATGAACGACCTAGCGAGGCCGGTAGCGCCACCTAGTGAGATATAATGGAAGAAGACCAACCAAGAGTTGAATCTTGACATACTCCGGTGCCATCTGCAGAACCTTGGTTATCAATGGCACAGTGATTTATGAGAGTTTGTGATTGAGTCGAATTTACGCCGCCATAGCTATATTCCAGTAATATCACGGCGGGGGATTCCCACATTGTGCCTATGATATGCAGAGAATCGAACCTGGACTTTCGGCACGAGGAGCGAACGCTTTTACCACTAGGCAACGCCAGCGGCCTTGATCATATGATCAACTATATGTGTTTTCATTTTTCAAATGTTAAAGTTTGCAATTACAGATAATGTTTATCACCACTGTAAAATGCAAGGATATAAGAATATCATCACCATCACCATCATTGACATCATCATCGTCGTCACCATCATTATCATCACCAAAACCATCAGCATCGCCACCGGTATCGTTATCACAGGTATATACGGTACTCCACACAGAGATTAACGAAGGGCATCTATTTGATCAGGGGTTAGTAACATATCTATTATAGCTGCGTGTCAGTATATCCAGTTTCTGTCAGTGTAGAAACATACTAAGTCTGTCAGCTTTGAAGACGGTTCTTGAGCTTCGAGTATCAGCTGATTTTCTTACGTCCTTGACACACAAAGACCTCTTGACATGATGTAACTTACCAGTGAGAAGGGGATAGTCGGATTGCAGACACGAGATGGATGTCGTCCAGAGAGTGTTACGAACTACCAGAAACTGTTTCATACATCATGCTTTCTGTCAAGGAAACTATTCATTACTGCTGTACAGTATCAAATATATTAGAACAGTAAAAGAAAATAACGACACCAATTCTCAAACTGTTTAAAATTATATTCCTTAAGACGTCATGTGCACGTCACCTGTTGTGAGATACTCATTGATATGATGCATGTAGTATCGCCTAAGATACCCGAAGCAAATATATCTCCATCGAATAACCATTCCTTGTTTGTTTCAATTTTAACCACCATCAAACATGGGGGTATACTTACTTTTGCCCGGCAGTTTACACAAGTTACAATTACTTCCCAATCGTTCGATCACTGAGACGATTGGAACATGGTGGTCGCAATTACATGGGGGTTGTGGGGGTTAGAGTAGGGGGATAGTTGATGGGTTTAACAAAAAGTAAGGTCATCTTGAGCGGGACGGTTTTCGTAGATGGATTAGCATATGGACTATGATTCTCTTTAGGTAGAAAATAAAGATCCACGATGTTCGACCTGGTAGAAGTGTGTAATCAAACCTCACAGCATTGGTCTTTGACTGATTGTGACGTCAAAACAAACTCATTCATGTACTTGAACTGAATGTTCATCTTAATTGTTATGGATAGTCACGGAGCCGTGATCCAGAGAACAGGGTGTCATTAGATAAAAATGAAGTAATAAGAGGATTACCAGAAAAACAGGGTATAACAACCAAGCCAATAAGCTTCGCTCAGGAACACCAGAGTAAGTCAGTAGAAGATTGAAAACTGCCCCATAATTTTGTATGACATTGTCACGATATTTTAACAGATATTTATTGAATTGTAGTGTCTCATAGGCCAAATCTGGCCAGACACATTTATATGTGTGTGACACTTTAATAAAATATCTTCTTCTTCTTCTATGACAGGCTAGTCGGGTATTGCTAGTTGTATATGTGAAAACAAGAAACTGTTATTAAAATTAAATGCAAAACTGATGAAAGTCACCAATAAACGTGGATAAGTGTTATATCGTCACTGCAAGAATAATGCGTGTTTGTCTTTAGTATCAACATTCAAATACGTGATATCTGTATTAGCGATATTGTCTACGTTCCACCGGTGCGTAAGCGTTGGACTTACTTTCTCGTGGTA